AATGAATGGATGAATGAATGAATAGATGGACGAATATAGACTGATGGATGAACAGAACAAATGTATGTATGCATCGGGCAATCGGTGGTTTGGTGTATGGAATTGGGTGGGTGTGGGGATACTTGAGTTTGTTATATGCAGTATGTTACCATCTGAAAACAAATGTTCTGATGATTAATTGTTCTAAAATAAACTTATTTTATCCATTTCTATCCACAGCGTCAAGAAATGCCATTTTTACTAAAGGTATTTGTTTTTTGCTATTTTAAAATTGACAATACATGCTCTTTTTATGACCTTTTGTAATATTCCACTCTATTTCCTTTTAGRTTCAAATCCGTTTTGCAAAGCCACCACAACTTGTTTTGGTAAGAAATGCTTTGCCTTCTTTAGTTTGTATTATAACTTGCAGTGGTTGTCAATATATAGTACAACATGAATAGCACAACGCAATTATATTTTGTTCTAGATCTTCTGATGTTTGTTCTGACTGCAGTTGCACTGCTAATCATCCACTGAAAGGTATACTAATGCAGCAGTCCGAAGTGACAAAAAAAGGTTCGTGAAGAATAGTAAGTCCCCTTCACAGTTCCCTGCGCCATCTTGAAAGGTAGCCGTGCCTTTGCATCGAAGCGAGACAAGCGGTGAGTTTACAATGATAAAGACCTAGTGAATAATTGTCCAAGGTGTTAAAAAACGTTCTTTATCATTGCAAGCTCACCGTTCTTCTCGTTTCGATGCAAAGGCAGGGCTACCTTTCAAGATGGCGCAKGGAACTGTGAAGGGGACTATTAGGTTGAATTTTGCTTACATAACTCAAAATGAATCGTGCATTATATTCATATGAAAATAGTATCGGAACAGAAGAAAAAATGCCGAATCAAAGGTGCACAAAAAATGGCAAGAATTCTATATCGTTTTGATTTTTGCTGATTGCATCCATATTGCTAATAGAGCATCATCTGGCATCATATGCAGCACATAGAATGCAATAATCAACAAAACACTCACTAACGCTGAAATAGMTCTATTTCATTTTATTTMTATATTTCTTTATTTTTATTTTMTTTTTTTCTTTTTTTAGATTTGAATGTTCCTGCCACAACTGTCATAAAAAATAAAAAGTGCGTAAAGATCTCCGACAACTAAAGCGTTTGATTCCATGATCATGCAATTTATTCTAATAAATATAACTTGCAATTAAGCTTCATTGTTTAACGTGCCAAGAAGCAAATAGATGCAGAAATTGATATCTGCCTGAATTCGATGAATGTATGAAGATTGAATACAAAAATTCAGTAATTCAAAATAGTCTCAGTTTTTAGCTTGAAACGTCTCGACTTTTTTTTATAAAACATTTGCATTCATAGGTCACCTGACCCTATACCTTAATACGTGCGCTAAATTGCGTTAAATTTTTCATCACAACTAAATAACATATTGGAAATAAATACCTAATGAATTAGCAAGAAGAAAGCACGATAAAACGGTTTTCCCGTTTGCGTGCAATGTCACTCTGAAATGTGAAAAGCATTAGCGTTTTAGCGAGGACGGCAACGGCAAGTACGACGGGGCGCGCATTCTTTCGTCATCGTCGTACTGCGCTGCCGTATTCGGTGCCTTTCCTGATTCTTTAGCTCCCCATTAGTAAGATGACGATAGATATATTAGTAACTGCGCTGAAATTCATCTCCAATTTAAGATTTATGTACTATACGTTTTTCTTCATCATTTTGTGCTTTTTTTTTTTTTTCCTGTTTGAATTCATAGGGTAGACATATAAGATCCTTGAAAATATACATGTATGTTATGTTAATTAGGTCGGTAATCCTTCTATGTGCGTCAATTTATTCATTATCTCCAACCCCTCTTCCCCTCTTTCCACAGCTCACGGCTTACTTACTTCATTTCTTTTTATTCCTTTCCCTGTCTCTCTCTCTCTCTCCTTGGATACTATTCCTTTTTTTTAACAGTTTCGTAGCGGGAAAACACTTCATGCGCTCATGTTAACAAGGAAGTGAATTATTCGTACGTAGGGCAAATGTTTATTCTTCTAAATAGCGCGTTTAATTATCAAAAATTATCAACACAGCTAAGTGCTCTTTATCTCCTAAATGACAGAACCTTTAAGGAGCTGTAATAATGATTATTGTTAATTATATAATTTTTAACCTTTTTTTTTTGTTGTTGTTGTTGTTGTTGTTGTTGTTGTTATTGTTGTTTTTTCCCTTTTAAGTGTATAACGCTTATGGCGATAAACTGTTACAGAGTTTCCTAGCTCGCTGTGAAAACTTCTTGCCAGCAAATAAGAGTTATTCGCGATCTGGAGAGAAAAAAAAGGGAATTTATACTGTGTTCATTCATTTAGCAATAATAATGAAATAAAGTCTTAAGTTCAAAACATACCTATGCAAAGGTTACAGCCTCTTGGACACAGCAGAAATCCACCAGACTTGATAGTGCACAGTTCGTCTAGTGTTTTTTGGTTATCACACTGCTTAACGTAGTTCTTGCAAGCTATAAAATTAAAGGTATTTCAAATAAAGAGGGTTGAGAAAAAAGCGAATCGAAGAAGCATGAATTTAAAGGAAATCAACGAAATCATATCATTTACTTCACTTCTGAACCCTGAACGGCTGGAGGAACTACTGGCCAACTACTTGTAATTCATAATTATTGAATCTTTCTTCCCCATAACAAATGTTATAGAAAGTGAGGTATTTTTTACAGTCCAAGAGCTTCAAAATAGACGACAACCTATAGCCTGTGGGTAGGGGGTTATTATATTCCTTAATTTTCATAATAGTGCGAAAGATTGTAGTGAAACGCATGCATACGAATTAACAAATGTGTTTACGCGCTGTCTATTACTCAAGTGCTATTTTGTGCTGCAAAAGTAGATAGATATTTCTAGTTTTGTCAGTTGTTAACATTATATAACAAGCTTTGCACTTTCCCTTACCTTTTCCACAGGACTCGCATGTGGTACCACAGTTAGCTCTCGCCTCATCTGTATAACACCTATTTGTTTCCTTCAGATGAAGGCACTTAGGCAAGGAAAAAATATCACCACAGCGGTCTAAGGTTAGAAAAAAAGGTACATGTAAGGTACATGTCAGGTACCACAGTTAGCTCTCGCCTCATCTGTATAACACTTTTTTGTTTCCTTGAGACTGATGCATTTAGGCAAGGAATAAATATATATCACCACAGGGGTCTAAGGTGAGATAAAAAAGGTACATGTATGGTACATGTCAGGCACCACAGTTAGCTCTATCATCATCTGTATAGCTCTTTAATATTTTGTTTCCTTCAGAAGAAGGCATTTAGGCAAGGAAAAAAATATCACTACAGGGATCTAAGGTTAGAAAAAAAGGTACATGTAAGGTACATGTCATTCATTGGGTTATTGTTTGATTGAGCTTTATTACCATAATTTGCCAAAGTTTATTTACAAGATAATCTTAAAACAGGTATTGGTAATTGCTACTCAGAATAGCTAGACTAATCGAGCTGAGTAGCTGTTAAGAGTAATTGAGATATAGTAGGCAATAGTAATAAATGATAATAAAGAACAAATCATATATAGTAGTATATGATCATACAGATAATGAAAAAAATATAGATGTATTATTGATAATTGAGAGAATGATAGAAATATAAGTACTTATTTAATATAATTTTATAATATAGATATATAATATGGATCGGATGTAATATAATTATTATCGATGTATGATGAAAAATGATTGGTTTTGTTCTCCTAGTTTCTTGTTTACTTTGCAACTACCGTTCCTTAATATTTATCAGGTTATACGATATACGATAGAACTGATGCTTCGCTCACGAGGTATCAAGTCCTATCTAATAGAGCTGTTCATGTGTTACTCATCACACCTACCACCGCATTATCACAATCACTCTCACACTCACCATGGAGTTAAGTGTAGTGGTGTTAATAATATCAGAAAAATGCCCTATACTTACTGCATTGGCCACAAGTCTCTGCACATTTTTCTTTTGATCTCGAAGAATCGCACCTGCCCAGCCTTTTAACTAACTTACAAAAATATGTATGCCATTTGTCTTCGCATTCTGTCGAATAAAATATAATCAATCAATCAGTCAATCAACCAATTAATCAATTATCGAATCAATCCATCCATCCATCCATCCATCCATCCATCCATCCATCCATCCATCCATCCATCAATCAATAAATCAATAAATCAATAAATAGATAAAAAGGTTAAAGATAAATAATCTTAAATTTAAAAATAAGAATTCATTGTAAAATAGTTCATTCCTTTGTTATTAAGTATTAAAATTCAAAACACAAATTCATTGTGAAATAGTTCGTGCCTTCGTTCCTTCGTTCCTTCGTTCCTTCGTTCCTTCGTTCCTTCGTTCCTTCGTT